CATGAGACAAAGAAATTGAGTCAAAGAGAAAGGTACCTCTAAAATGTATTAACTTTAGTAGAGTGAAGGAATGGTAAGTTAATAGAAAAGGAATAGCTGAGGACAACTGGTTTTAGAAGTGGGTGAATATGGAAGATTGTTGCTGAGTGAAGTAAGTCAGGCTATGAAAGAGAGACATTGTCTCCACTTAACATATACTTCTCTGGTCAAATTAAAATAAATGAATAAATAAATAAAATTAAATAATTATTTTTTAAAATTGCAATGGACACTAGAGATAAAGTGGAAAGAGAATGTGGGAGGGGGAGAGTGTAGGAAATTTGGGGGGGGAATGGAGAGGTAAGATGCTTGTGGGACACAGATAAGGTTTATTATCTGTTGACAAGTATGTGTATGGTAGTCTCAACTGGACTGGATTAAGGTGTATATTGTGCTGGGTTAAATCTCTTCACAATCTAAATGATGTATAGCGATTTAATGTATGAATAATAATAAAAATAATAAAATAATAAAAAAAGAAGTGGGGAAATGTTTTTTAACTGTAGCACGGGTAACAATAGGCTAGTGACCAACTTTGGGTGGTGTTAAATTAGGAGTGGCAGTGGAGAGAAAATCAGAATCATTTTAGCTATCTTTTCTATAGTTTCTTGGAGGAGAGCTGTGCTTCTCATATATTCTCCTTCCCTTCTTTCTCTCCCTGCCACTCCTACCTCTACTTTGTCTTGTCCCTAGTGGCAAACCATGATGATAGATTTGAGAAGGAAAACTGGAGTTTGATAGAGGCTACAGTAGCAGATTTGGGAGTCCATCAGGGTAAAGGAGAGAGTCTAATGTAATGCTAACTGAAGTGGAGGAGAGCTGTGCTTCTCATATATTCTCCTTCCCTTCTTTCTCTCCCTGCCACTCCTACCTCTACTTTGTCTTGTCCCTAGTGGCAAACCATGATGATAGATTTGAGAAGGAAAACTGGAGTTTGATAGAGGCTACAGTAGCAGATTTGGGAGTCCATCAGGGTAAAGGAGAGAGTCTAATGTAATGCTAACTGAAGTTGTGAGTTCAGAAAAATATGGAAAGGCACCAAAGCCACTATAAGACTTAAATATTAGGGATATGAAACAAATTTTTTGAGAGGCTTTTGCCTTAGGGCATGTGTGCTTGCCAGAGAGACAGAGATAGTGAGAGGGGAAGTGAGAAATCACCCCAGGGGGATGGCCATGCCACAATCCCTTCTTCTCCATTCTTTTCCTTTTGGGCATGCATGCACACATACCTGCCATGAATTTTAAACCCACTGGGTCTGGGACTTAAACCATTGTCAGCCATGTGGGAGTCCAGTGATGTAACTTCTATGTCATCTGCTGCTCCAATAATTTTTTCTTTTTAATGAATATAATGATCTTTATTTTTAGACCCATTCTTTTCTTTCAGCATTATTTAATGTTCTAGTTATTTGCATTACAATTAAATCTCTATGGAAAATGTTTTCCTAATGCTATGTACAATCACATCAGTTTTTTTAAAAAAAGTACTGGTATATGTACATGCATATGCATGTGCATACATGTGTGTCTTTGGCTTTTTTCCTCTCTTTTCATTTTTATTTTGGCAGGAAGTGAGGGAAGAGAATGGTTACTTTTTTTTAGGCATGTGTGAATTTTAAATTGTTTAGTACTTATTTTTCAATTCTGTTTATAACCAAATAGTTGTTTTAAAACAATTATCTTTGTTCTAAAAGAAAATGTCTTTTATGTATATTTTTTTTCAGATTACTTTGATTATGAGAACTTAGCCAAATTAGAACTAGACTAGGACAAATTGATTGGTTTTATTTGCTGTAGGTCACTTCTCAGTTGAGCTATATATATAGTTGGGAACCAGAATTGCATTTCCTTCAGTGACCTAGTTTTCTTATCCCATTGTGTCTCACTGTCACATAGATCTTACATAATTTGATGATCATGTGCTACAAGTCTCCATTATTTTTCTAAATAATTGTATTACATATTCTAAGTTGTTCTAAAATTGACTGTGGCTATTTGTTTGTTTGTTTGTTTCAGTTTGAAATGCTTACTGGTACTCTGCCATTTCAAGGTAAAGACCGAAATGAGACCATGAATATGATATTAAAGTAAGTAAACACTAAATTTTTCTTTTGGGAAGAAACGCTTGCTTTTAGTTTTGAGAAATTTGTTGTAGTTTTTAACCGACACTAAATAACATTTATCACACTGTTGTGTTTCCTTCTTTTACAATATAGGGGACGTTATTTGGTGCTATAAAAGTACATTTTAAAATTCTTTTTGATACTTGTCAACTTAGAAGTGTAGTTAGATTTAAGTGAAATTTCCAAAATCTTCTTTTCCAGAGCAAAACTTGGAATGCCTCAATTTCTTAGTGCTGAAGCGCAAAGTCTTCTAAGGATGTTATTCAAAAGGAACCCAGCAAATAGATTGGGTATTGTTTATTTTCTTAGCTTTAATAATAATATACTACATGTTTGGGGTAGATAATTATATCTTTGTTTTCTGGTTTAATTTAAATACATTTACTGTTGGTAAGATAATTTATACCTAGAATTTTGCATTTTGTATATGCATTCTAGGAACAGTAAACTATTAGGTCTGTGAATAAAAACTGGAGTACTGGGGCCAGTGAGTTCCATGGGAGTTGGAGCACAGGACTCCCACATGGCCAACTGTGGTTTGAATCCCACACCTGGTGGCTTACTTTCCCACTTTCTCTCTCTCTTTCGGTCTCTGATGAGCATATATGCCCTACTGCAAACTTTAAAAAGAAAAACAAAAAGAATAATGATAATAAATAAAATAAATAATTTTATAAAGGAGTAGTTTATTTCACTAAATCTTCTCTATATAAAATGTATCATTATGTATATAATATAGATTGGCTCTTTTTTTGGGGGGTGGGCAGATTTTTGCTATAGGGCACGTGCGTTCACCAGACAGACAGAGAGAGACAGAGAGATAGAAGGCGAGACATCACACCCCAGGGGTGATGGCCATGCCACAATCCCTTCTCCTCCAATCTCCTCTTGGGATCTTGGGCACGCACACACATGTGCCCGGCGTGAGTTTAAGCCACCAGGTCTGAGACTCGAACCACGGTCAACTATGTGGGAATCCAGTGACATAGCCATTACACTAACTGCTGGTCCCTGGATTGGCTCTTTTGAAATACTGGGTTGCTGGAAAAGTCATGATACTTTTTTAAAAATTTATTTAACTTAATTTAATTTTATATATTTAATTACTCTACATCACTTTGCTTATAAGTTGAATTTACCCCACATGAATATGTTTCACACCTGTCCAGTTGAGGATACATGACACATTATCATTAACAAATGATAACCCATTTCTGTGTCCCATGCCTGTCTATTTTCCTCCTTAATTTCTTTGCTTTAACTCTACCCTTTCTCCCACCCTCCTCCCACATTTGTTTCTGTGTCCTCAAATCTCTCAGTTTCCACCAGAGTGTAGACAGTTGTTATATGTCAAGTGGAGACATACAATCTCTCTCTTTCATGGTCTGACTTACTCAGCAGTAAATGTTCCATATTCATCAAGTTTCTATCAAATGCCAGGGTTTTGTTGCTTTTTATGGCTGAGTAGTAGTCCATAGAGTATATGTGCCATTCTTTTTCAATCCACTCATCTGTGTGTAGACATTTTGGTTGGTTCCAAGTCTTAGCAATCATGAATAATGCCACAGTAAACATAGATATTCAAGAACTTTTGCAACTGAGCATTATCCTACCCCAAGAGTAGATACCCAGGAGTGGAATTTTGGATCACATGGTAGTTCTATTTGTAGATGTTTGAGGAATCTCCATATTGTTCTCCACAGTAGCTGGCTAAATTTACATTCCCACCAGAAGTGTAGAAGGGTTCCCCTTTTACCACATCCCCACCAGCATTTACATTTATCACCTATTTTTTTTTTTTTTTATCTTCGTCATTCTGACTGGGGTTAGGTGGAATCTCATTGTGGTTTTGATCTTCATCTCCCTTATGATGAGAGATGTTGAGCATTTTTTCATATGCTTTTTGGCCGTTTGTATGTCTTCCTTGAGAGTGGATTGTTCATCTCATTTTCCCATCTTATTAGGGTTGATCATTTATTTTCAGGTAAAACATTTGAGTTCCCTATCTATTCTGGTTATCAATCTCTTAACTGAGGTATAGTTTACAAAATATTCTCCATTAAAGAATTGTCAATTCACACTAGTTACTGTGTCTTTCGCTGTGCAGAAACTTCTTAATCTGATGTAATCCCACTTGTCTATTTTTGGGATTTTTGCCTGCGCCTTGGGGGTCTTATTTAAGAAGTTGTTGTGGGACAAGCAGTTAGTGTAATGGGACCCCGGGTCACGTTCAAGACCCGATGGTTTAAATTCACGCCGGGTGCCTTTGTGTGTGTGTGTGCGCGCGTGCGTGCGCGCGTGCATACCCAAGGCCCTGAGAGGAGAAAGGAGGAGGGATTGCAGCATGGCCATCCCCCTTGGGGGTGATTTCTCGCTTTCTGTCTCTCTCTTTCTGTGCGTTCTTTCTGGTGAGCGCATGTGCCCTATAGCAAAAATCCTTTCAAAAAAAAAAAAAAAAAAAGACATTGTTGCCTACCAGAAGTCTCCCAATGTTTCCCCAGTGTTTTCCACCAGTAATTTTATAAGTTGAGGTCTTAGGTTTAGATCTTTGATCCACTTTGAGTTGATTTTTTTCAGTGGTGAAAGATAGGGGTCCAGATTCATCTTTCTGCAGGCAGATACCTAGTTTTTCAAGCACCATTTCATAAAGAGATTTTTCTTTTCCCACTACACTGATTGGTACCTTTTGTCAATAATCAGTTGACTTCATGTTTTGAGGTTTATTTCTGGTCTCTATATTCTGTTCCATTGGTTCACATATATGTTTTTGTGCCAATACCAAGCTGTTTTGATTATTACTGCTTTGTAATGTATTTTGGGTTCAGGGAGTGAGATGCTGTCCACTCTACTCTTTTTGCCTAGGATGGCTTTGGCAATACAGGGTCTTTTATGATGTCAGACAAATTCTATGATAGTTTTTTCTAGATCTGTGGAGAATGTCTCTTGTAATTTTATAGAGATTGCAATAAATATGTAGATTAATCTGGGTAGAATTACTATTTTGATTATATTAATTCTCCCATTCCAGGAACAAGAGATGTCCTTCCACTTTTTTGTGTCCTTTTCAATTTCTTTTTAAAGATTTTCATAGTTTTCCTTGTAGAGGTTTTTTACTTCCTTGGTTAGATTTATTTCTAGGTATTTTATACTTTTTGTGGTTATGGTAAATGAGATTATTATATTCAGTTCTGCTTCTGTATGCTTGTTGTATGTATATAGAAATGCAATAGATTTTTGTAAGTTGATTCTGTATCCTGCCAATTTACTGTATTCATTTATTACTTTGAGAATTTTTTTTTTGGATGCTTTTGGGTCTTCTATGTATATAGTCATGTCATTTTCAAATGCAGATAATTTCAACTATTATTTCCTTAATTTAATGCCTTTTATTTCATTCTCTTGTCTGATCACATTGGCTAGGACTTCCAAAACTATTGAAACGGAGTGGAGAAAGTGGGCAGCCTTGTCTTATACCATTTTTTAGTGGAAAAGCTTTTAGCTTTTCCCCATTCAGTATAATGTTTATAATAGGTTTTTCATAAATGACTTCTATTATACTGAAAAATGATCTTCTTTCTATGCTGATTTTTCTGAGAGTCTTAATAATTAAGGAATTAAGGGATGTTTTATTTTGTCAAATGATTTTTACTGCATCAATTGAAAAGATCATATGGTTTTCATCTTTGTTTCTATTAGTATGGCGTATTACATTTATGGTTTTGTATATAATGAACCACCCGTCCATCCCTGGAATAAAGCCTACCTGGTCATGATAAATAATCTTGTTTATATTTCATTGAATAGGATCTGTTAGTATCTTGTTGAGAATTTTTGCATCTATAGTCCTCAGAGATATAAATCTGTAGTTTTCCTTATTCTCATATCCTTATCTGATTTGGGAATGAACGTGATAAAGCTTTGTAAAATGAGTTTGGGAGTTAGTTCCTTTTGTATCTTTAGAAATAATTCAAGAAGAATGGCGGTAAATTCTGTGTGTGTGTGTGGGGGGGTTACTTCTTTAAACATTTTGCAGAATTCATAAGTAAAGCTATCATGACATGGCTTTTCTTTGTTGGTAGGTTATTTATTACTGATTCAATCTTATTGCTTGTCATGGGTCTATTCAGGCTTTCCATGTCCTCCTGAGTCAATCTTGGGAGATTATGTGTGTCCAGGAATTTGTCCATCTCATCCGGGTTCACTTATTTGTTGCCATACAGATGCTCATAGTATCCTCTAATGATGTTTTGTATTTCAATTATGTCCACTGTAATATTGCCTGTTTGATTGCAAATTTGATTTATCTGGTCCCTTTCTCTTCATCCTGATTAGCCTAGCCAATGGTGTGTCAGTTTTGTTTATCATTTTTTTTTTTGGAGAGGCTTTTTGCTATAGGGCGCGTGCACTCGCCAGACAGAGACAGAGAGACAGAAAGCGAGAAATCACTCCATTCTCCTCTTGGGATCTTGGGCATGCACGCACACGCGCCTTGCGTGAGTTTAAGCCACCGGGTCCAGGCCTCAAACCGCAGTTGACTACGTGGGATTCCAGCGACATAGCCATTACACTAACTGCTGGTCCCAGTTTTGTTTATCTTTTCAAAGAACCAGCTTTTGCTTTCATTTATTTTCTGTTTCATTAATTTTTTTCTATTTCATTTATTTCTGCTTAGATCTTTATTATTTCTTTTCTCCTGACATTTTTTGGATTTTTTTGTTGTCATTATTTCCAATTCCCTAAGCATGATGTTAATTTGTCCATTTGCCACCTTTCCATTTTTTTCTTATGCACACTAATTGCTGTGATCTTCCCTCTTATAACTGCTTTTGCAGTGTCTCAAAGATTATGGAAACTTGTATACTCATTATCATTTTTGTCCATGAATCTTTTTATTTGAGTCTTAATCTCTTCAGTAGTTGTGAGGTCATTCAGGACCAGGTTATTTAGTTTCCATGTATTTGTTCATTTTCAAGGATTTTTCCTGAAATTGATAGCAGGTTTAATTCCATCATGGTCGTAGAAGATGCTGGATATAGTTTCTATGCCTTTAATTCTTTTTGCAAAGAAAAAAATGCATCATGATTTTTCTGATGACCCAATAATTTACACTATTATGTGGTCTTCTAGAAGGTTCCATGTGGGGATGAGTAAAAAGTATATATTTTTTGTTTTAGGGTGGAATGTTCTATAAATGTCTGTCATGTCCATCTGATTTGTGGTATTGTTTAGGTCCTGAATCTCTTTGCCTTTTTTTTTTTTTTTATCTTGTTGATCTCTCTAAAAAAGATAATGGGGTATTGAGGTCTCCAACATTTAGTGTGTTGCAGTCTCTCTCTCCTTTTAGATCTAGCAGTCTTTCCATCACATACTTGAGTGCTCCTACATTGGGTGCATAGATATTTAATAAACTAATTTAAAATGACATTTTGAAATTATACTTAGAAAACTGTTCACATAAATGAAAGTTTCATCAGTTGACATTTTTTGTCAGCGTAATTGGTAACTCATCATTGTGTGCGTAATGGAACATCATGCGAGATTCTACAAGAAGGTATTACCTTTATTTTTGTTTGTTTGCCAGGTAAAGGTGTTAGTGGGAAAAGTAAGGAAAGTTACTGAGCCTTCTAAAACTCAGTCATGGTGGATATAGATATATAATTGAATACTAATAAAGAATAGTCAAGATTACTGACTTAATTAATAAACTTGGCAAGGACTCAGACCTGCATACCACTGAAGAAAAATGTAGCTGGTCAGTAGGGTTCTTTTTAACAGTGTTCTTATTTTCCAGATGTACAGCCTGGAAACAAACATTGGACTAAAGAAGCCATTGCAAGATTTCAGAAGTGTGTTGTAGGGATAAAACTCCAAGCGAGAGTGGCTGAAATCACTGAAAATGGGGTGGGAATTGAACTCACTGATCTTTCCACGTCTTATCCCAGAATAATTAGTGATGTTCTGAATGAAGAACATTTGGTTTTAAAAGCTGATTCACCATATAAAGACTTACTAAACAGACCTGTGAATAAGCATGATCCTCAAACCGATGCCCACGGGCTCCAAGGTAACATTTTTAGAACATTTCTTTGTTATTTAAGTTTCGGTTACCATTCAATATTATAACTGGGAAATTTGTCCCATTATAAATTACATAATCTTCTGGTAGAAATACTCTTTGTAGACATAGTTTTATAATAGCTTATTAAAAGATGGGGCCAGTGGGAGCCATGGTAGTTAAGGCGCTGGAAGTCCACACGGCCAACTGTGATTCAAACCCTGGACTTCGTTTTAAAAATTATGCCAAGTGCATGTGTTCTTGTATGCCCAAAATCCCAAGAGGAGAAGGGATTGAAGCATGGCCATCCCCAATTGGGGTTGATTTCTCTGTTCATCTCTGTCTCCTCTGAGTGCTTGTACCCTGTGGTAAAAAACCTAAATAATAATAGGCTATAATAGGTTATTAAAATTTATTTAATATGAATTTGTTTTAAAACCTGATTGTTTTATTAAACATTGTACTCATTTTTAATGTAGTTATCAGGTAAATGCATCACATAGATAAGCATCTCTTGAAGTTTGAGAAACTTTTTTTTTCTTTCTTTGGAGATGTTTTTGCTATAGGGTGTGTGCGCTCACTATAAAGACAGAGAGAGACAGAAAGTGAGAAAACACCCCCTGGGAGAGGATGGCTATGCCGCAATCCCTTCCCCTCCATTCTCCTCTCTGGATCTTGGGCACACCCGGCGGATAGCACAATTTCTTAAGTAATCTAACTACTTTCAATAGCAAGCTCACTTGATACTATTAAGAAAACCAGGTTTAACTTAAATCAAAGAAATGCTAAGGAACTTTGCTTAAAGCCAGGAAGCAGGTTAGGATTCTGTTCAAATGGTAGGTGTATGAACCTATCCATATCTCAAGACAGGACACAAATCCTTTCAACCAAATAACAAAGTCTACAAGAAAATCAGCAATATTTTAGTCAAAGTCATAAAATTATAGTTCACCAATTCAGTCTCATGTACTTTATTTTCTGTTGTGGTTCAATTTTCCCGATTAAATTCTGGGATATAATATTCAACTCCAGACTTGTTTATAGTTTTCTTTGTATAGCATTGCCTTCAGAATTTTTTGAAGAGCTGTTCTGGAGTTGGTGAATTCTTTCAGAGTTTATTTATCTGAGAATGTGTTTATCTTTTCTTCGGATACAAAGGATAATCTTGCTTGGTATATTATTCTCGGTCGAAATTGCTTTTCATTTAACACTTTGAATATATTTCCCCATTCTTTTCTTGGTTGCTGTGTTTCTGATGAGAGGGCCAATATTAGACTGATTGGGTTGATTCTTTTTGTTTGGTTGTTTTTTGTTTTGTTTTGTTTTTGAGAGGTTTTTGCTCTTGGGTGTGTGCGCTCACCAAAAAGACAGAGAGAGACAGAGAGACAGAAAGTGAGATCCCAACCCCAGGAGGGATGGCCACACTGCAATCCCTTCTCTTCCATTCTCCTCTCAGGATCTTGGGCATGCACGCATATGCCCCTGGTGTGAGTTTAAGCTTCCGGGTCCAGGACTTGAACTGCAGTTGACTACATGGGTTCCAGTGACATAGCCATTATGCCAACTGCTGGTCCCTCTTGGGTTGATTCTTTTTTTTTTTTGGAGAGATTTTCACTGTAGGGCGTGTGCGCTCGCCAGACAGACAGAGAGAGACATAGAGACAGAAAGCGAGAAATCACCCCCCAAGGGGGATGGTCACGCCGCAATCCCTTCTCCTCCATTCTCCTCTCGGGATCTTGGGCACGCACGCACACGCGCCCGGCGTGAGTTTTAAGCCACCGGGTCCAGGACACGAACCGCGGTCGACTACGTGGGAATCCAGCGACATAGCCATTACGCTAACTGCTGGTTCCCTTGGGTTGATTCTTTTTGAGGTCCTTTTTATTTCTTGGGTTTGAATGTTTGAATGCTTCTCTAGGCTTAGAATGTTTTCTTCCAGGATTTTATGGAATAGATTCTCAATGCCCTTATTAGTTTCTTCATCTTCTGAGATACCAATTATTCAGATATTTGGATGTTTAATGGAACCTAGTATTTCTCATTTATTATCCTCTTTTTATTTTTAGGTTGTTTTATCTATCTTGTTAGTGTTTTTTTCCCTATGTCAGAGGTTCTGTCTTCTATATGAGAGATTTGATCTTATTCATGGTCTAATCTGCTTTTTATACTTTCAGGGGAGATTTTGATTTCCTATATTACAGCCTTCTCTAATAACTCCGTTTGATTCTTTTTTATGGTGTCTATTTCTTGTTTCAAATCATTGAAGGACTTCCTTATCTCCTGTAATTCGTTGTCTCTTTTCTCTTGCATCTTCTGGAGTTCACTATCTTTCTCTTACATCTCCTTATGTCTTGCCACTATGAATATTCTGAATTTTTTATCTGACATTTCCATAAGTTCCATTGTGTTATCTGTGGATGATGTGGAATTTTTATTCTTCCTTAGGGGAGAGATATTTTCTTGGTTTCTCATATTTCTTGTGCCTCTTTGGTTGTTTCTGGTCATCTGATGGATTATACGTTTCTTCCCTGTGACCTGTACTTTTGTTGCTAGGATTGCATGTTCCAAATGTCTCCCAGATTATAGAGAACAAATGTACCTGGGGCTGAGCCTCAGGGTCTCAACTGAGGAAGATGGTCCATGCAGGCATTGCACACCACGTGCTTCCAGAAATCATTAAGTTTAGATTGGATGAATGGGGTGCACAGGTCCAAGGCTGTCTCTGGCCTCAGTTTGCACACTCACTTTTGCCGTAGGAAAGTTGGGGGAAAAGATGGGTGTAAGTTGGGAGGGAGAGGGCACCTGAAGCAGAGGAATGGGGTGCACAGGTCCAAGAGGGTCTCTGGCCTCTGTCTATATACTCACTTCTGCTGTGCAGGAGCTGGGAAGAAAGGCAGGGCACAAGTTGGGAGCAAGAGGGCACCTGCAGCAGATGGATGGGGTGTGCAGGTCCAAGGTGGTCTCTGGCCTTGGTCCACACATTCACTTCTACAGTCATGACACGTTTTTGCAAAGAAAAAAATGCATCTTGATTTTTCTGATGACCCAATAATTTACAGAATTCTTCCTTCTATAAGTAATCCTTTTAGATATTTGAAGATAAATATTTTGTCTCTCCCAATATTCTTCAGTGTAAATGCTGTATCCATTATTTATTATTTGATTACTTTTGTAGTAGGCTTCCTGGTGATCCTTTATCTGATACATGTATGTGTGGATATATATATCCTTGTATTCATTTTAATATCATTTTATTTCTTTGTACTTTTTAGTTGACATATAAATAGGCTAAAAGTTTAATTATAAAGAAAAGAGAAAGTACTTAATATTTAATAGAAGCACTTTAGTATGTAGTACCCTATGTAGTTCAGTATGAACATCAGGTTTGTTTTTTTTTTAATCATAGTAAAGTGAAAAGACCAATTAATAAAATGCTGGATAAGAAATCATAGACTGTTCACTTCAAGGAATTTATGAAATGTATGTACTCCTGTTTACAGATAACAGTCTTGACTAGGTAGCAAGATGAAAAAAACATATTACTAAAAAATTCTTTTCATTTTTATAGGTTCAGAAGGAGTTGAGGAAATCAAAAGACATCTCTTTTTTGCAAATATTGACTGGAATGTAAGTTGAGTAAAGTTTGATACTTGAATAACTTTGTACTATTATGAGCAAAAACTGAAGAGTAAACGGTAATATCTAGATTTAGCTGATGAACTAAATCCATTTGTTTTATAGTTAATGTGACATTTTTATTTATAGGTAGAGTATATCATGACAAATACCTTTAACCAGTAGATGTGTGGATAGTATTTATTAAATTTTTGTTTCTCATATATTTTACTGAGATAGTATTTATTAAATTTTTGTTTTTCATATATTTTACTGTTAATTTTGGTTAATATTCTGCTACTCTTCTGGATTCAGGAATTTGAGAGAGGAAGAGAAAGGGGAAGAGGGATGAATGATAAAATAAATTCTTATAGGAAACCATTGTAAAGACCCTAAGATGTTACTTAATTTCACATTATTCTTTTTCACATATTAGAAAAACTTAGTTTATTAAGAGAGAACAACTTAGCTTATTAAGAGATATCTCGGGACCAGCAGTTGGCGTAATGGCTATGTTGTTGTACTCCCATGTAGTTGACCATGGTTTGAGTCCCAGACCCAGTGGCTTAAACTCACACAGGGCGCATGTGTGTGCGTGCCCAAGATCCCAAGAGGAGAATGTAGGAGAAGGGATTGTGGCATGGCCATCCTCCCAACGGGTGATTTCTCGCTTTCTGTCTCTCTGTCTTTCTGGTGAGCGCACGCGCCATATAGCTAAAACCTCTCAAAAAAAAAAAAGTGAGTATCTTCTGTGTGATATTTCATTATATTTTGAAAGGACAGGAAAACACTGCAAAATTCAGCTGAGCTATTTCAAAAGATTTTTAAATTAAGTTCCTATTCATAGACTCATAAGGTTTTATTAGGAGAGTTCACTCTTTTGTTGTTTGTTTTATAACACAGCTCTCTGTCTTTTGTGTATTAACAATCATAAGCATATTTGATTACCTAGTTCTGGCATTGGCATTGACAATTTTTAAAAGGAAAAGTCTGTATTTTGATTTCTAGGACAGATGTAGAAAACCACTATTCTCTTACCAAATTACTATTTCATTCACTTGTAGAAAAAGTTTCAATAGGCAATATTTTGATTTTGTTTTATAGTTGTAAGCTGTAATAGGACAAAAAAAAATCTCACAACACAAAATAATAAATTCCCTTGTAATTTTCCCATTAAAATTGTGAGCTTTTAAAAAAGTAGGTTTCTCCAAAAAAGGTAAGTTTTTACTTACTATATTTTAAATATCTCTCAGAAACATAAATTTTAGCATGTTAGATTGTTAGACAAGACTAAATTTTGAATTCTATGACACGAGCCTGAAACTACATTTAATGTATATTTTTATATGAAAACAAAATATTTTACATGAAATGAAAATAGTGTAATTATTGATTTTGAAGACCTCAAGATTTATTAGTCATATCTTCATGGTAATAACTTTGTGATATATTCTGTATAGTTTTATGACCAGTGAGAATTCCAATCATTTGTTTATATCTAAAATTAAATATCATTCTTGTGAATGCAACTTGCGGCAACACTGCTGTATTTTCTACCCTTTTAGACATGGATTTAAAATTTTTAGAATTTGGTTAACAGGAATCTGAAGCCTGTTGAAATTTCTTTTATGAAATTGTGATTTTTTTTTGTTAAGGACTGTGAATATTATATTTTGCTTTTCCTTGCAAAGTGTAATAATTTCTTAAAGTGATAATATGTTTTTATGTTACTCTGTTGCTTCTAGAAATTATATAAAAGAGAAGTTCAGCCTCCTTTCAAACCTGCTTCTGGAAAACCAGATGATACTTTTTGTTTTGATCCTGAATTTACTGCAAAAACACCTAAAGGTAATGCATTTTTATATGTAAAATCGGAGCTTTTATACCAGTAGATGCTTAAAAAACAACAAAAATAACTACAAATAAAAACTACAAGAATGGCAAGTTTACAGAGGGCTGATTTGCCATTTCTGAAAGTATGATATCTATATAAGACTGCTTGGGCATTTCTCAAGTAGAGGCTTTAAATGGGAAATATTTATTGGAGAGGCAGGGAGTACAGCAAAGGGTGGCATTTTTTTTTCTTGTTTTATGAGTCCTTTGGCATGCTAATGCTTTATAGGATAGGGGTAGGAGTAAAAAAAGGAGATATATTAGTTTGTTATAGGTAGAATTTAGTGTGGCTTACTTTTAGTGGCATCTGTTTCATACATTTGTTCAACCAATATTGAATGCCTCCTGTGTTCTAAGCAATGAGAATGAATCAATGAACAGAACAAAAATTAATGACCGCATAGAGTGTGCATACATACTGGTAGTGGGATATAGATAATATATAATAAGTCAAATATATAAAATACCAAATTATGGCAGTTAATGATTTTATTTATATTTGAAGAAAAGTTGGCATTTTATGTCATATAATTCTGTGTAGTTCTAATTAAATATAATTATTTGGATATTAGATTCCCCTGGTTTACCAGCCAGTGCAAACGCTCATCAACTCTTCAAAGGATTCAGTTTCGTTGCAACCTCTGTTGCAGAAGAATATAAAATCTCTCCTGTCACAAGTGCAAATGTATTACCAATCATTCAGGTAAATTCCACATAGTCACTTTATTTATTTGTTTGTTTTTGGAGAAGTTTTTGCTATAGGGCGCATGCACTCACCAGAAAGACAGACAGAAAGCGAGAAATCATTTCCCAGAGAATGGCCATGCCACAATCCTTTTTCCTCCATTCTCACCTCAGGATCTTGGGCATGCACGCACACACAAACCCAGGTGAGTTTAAGCAACTGGATCCGGGTCTCGAACCACAGTCGACTACATGGGAGTCCAGTGACATAGCCATTATTCCAACTGCTGGTCCCACATAGTCACATTATTTAGTTTGGGGACATACCAATTTGGGGATAATTATGCTTCTGAATTATTGCTAATGTATTTTTAGTAGTTTTTTTTTTTTAAGTAGCTATGTTATTTATTTCTTGATATAATCATGAATTAAAGATGTCTATATGTTTTGTGATAAAAGCAGACAGTAATAACCTTTAATTACATTTTTGTAGTCTGTTTGGCAAGAAAATGTAAGGGTGATATGTAAGCTGTAAGCTGATTTATTGTATTGGCCTTGGGGACCTTGAAGACCTACAATTTAGAATTTGCTTAAGCCATCCATTGATAAAAAGTCTCTAGAATGAGTTATTCTTGATTTTTAAAAGATTTAAGACAAGGACCAGCAGTGGTGTGGTGGTTGGGTGCTGGATCCCACATGGTCAGCTCTGTAGTTCAAATCTTGAAAACCATGTCGGGTGTGTGTGCATGTGTGCCTGAAGAGGAGAATGGAAGAGAAAGAATTGTGGTATGGCTATCCCCCTTGGGTGTGATTTCTCACTCACTTTCCCTCTCTCTGTCTCTCTCTGGCAAGCACACACACCCTGTGACAAAAATCTAAAAGAAAAAAAAAAGATTTAAGACGAATGTATATTTCAGACAAAAGATTAAAAATGTAAAAATATTCATTTTCTTAGTATGTTTTTTTTAATAAAAACAGATAAATGGAAATGCAGCACAATTTGGTGAAGTATATGAATTGAAAGAGGATATTGGTGTTGGCTCCTATTCGGTTTGTAAGCGATGCATACATACAACTACCAACATGGAATTTGCAGTGAAGGTATTGTCTATGAGCCTAACTTTTATTTTTAAAGTAGGTAATTTAAATTACAGGTTAACTGACAGACATTTTCAACGGAGCAGGTAGAGATAGGAAAAAATAATGAGAAAAGAACTCTGAGACTTAATATTTTCATTTTTAATTTCTTTCCAAGGCTTTGAAGGAAGAGTGTATTTCATGAATATTTTTTGCCTTTGAGTAGTTTTATTGTAGTATGTTAATATTGAGCAATTGTGATAATTGCAATCACATTTGGCTCACATTATTATTTAGTATACTTTCAGTGAAATGAATCATAATGTTAAAGTGCTCTGATTTATTTTTTCCTGTTAAGTTTCGGTTATAGGAAATTTTAAAGTGTTAAAGTAATATGAGGTAAGCATTATTGTTGAGTTTTTAAGTTATTTAAAAATAGGTTGGTGCAAAATCAATTGGAGTTTTGGACCATGAAATTTAAATCATTACAACTAGACTCGAACAGGAGTCAGCACGTGCTGTGGTGGTTAAGGGCACTGGACTCCCACATGGCTGACCATGATTCGAGTCCCAGACCTGGTGGCTTGCTTTCTCATTTTTCTTCTCTCTCTCTCTCTCACTATTTCCCTCTCTGGTCAAAAATAAATAAGTAAATAAATAAAGTTAAATAAGATAATTCTTTTAAAAAAATACTCAAACATATCTTTCTTAATTAAAATAGGTACTGTTATAATTGATACATTTTTGTCAACAAGAAATAAGTTTGTTTATTCCTGTAGCATAAAAATCCATGCTTCAGGATACGACAAACTCTTTGAAAGGATCTTCTGCATCCTGCTGGTTGTGGAAATGTTTTCCCTGTAAAAAGTTGTCATGATGCATGCAGAAGTGGTAGTTGGTTGGTGAGAGGTAAGGTGAGTATAGCTTATGAGGCAAAAATTCATAGTCCAATTCTTTCAACTTATGAAGTGTTGGTTGTGTGATGTGGGGTCAGGCATTATCGTGGAAAAGAATTAGGCTCTTCTATTGACCAGTGATGGCTTTAGGCATTACGGTTTTCAATGCATCTCATCAATTTGCTGAGCATACTTTTCATATGTAATGGTTTCACTGGGATTCAGAAATCTGTAGAGGATCAGACCCCACCAAACAGTGACCACAACCTTTTTTGGTGCAAGTTTGGCTTTGGGAAGTGCTTTGGAGCTGCTTCTTGTCCAACCACTGAGCTGGTCATATGGTTATCTATAAAACCCACTTTCATTAGATGTCACAATCCAATTGAGAAATGATCCATTGTTGTTGTGGACAATAAGAGAAGATGACACTTCAGAATGATTATTTTTTAGATTTTCAATCAGCTCATGAGGAACCCACTTATCAAGGTTTTTCACCTTTCTAATTTGCTTTAAATGCTAAATGACTGCAGAATGGTCTAGGTCAAGTTCTTCAACAACTTCTCATGTAGTTGTAAGAGGATCAGCATTGATGATTGTTCTTGATGGCTAGCCACTGCACTCATTTTCAAGGTTCTCATTCCCTCTGCAAAACTTCTAGAACCACCACTTCACTGTACATTTGTTAACAAATTATGGGCCAATGTAGTGTTGATGTTGCCAGTCCATTTCTGCTCTTGCTACCTATTTTGAACTCAAATAAGAGAATTGCTTGAATTTGTATTTTGTCTAACACCATTTCTATAGTCTAAAATACACATAAAATAAACTCCAAGTAATAAGTGATTAGCAAAAAAAGCAAGAAATGTGCATTAAAATGAAGTATTATATAACCGCATTTTAGAATGTATCCAGTATCAATCAGCAAATTTCAATAATGCAAAACCACAATTACTTTTGTACTAACTTAATATAAACAAATTGAAAATACTTCATTTATGTTTAGACAAAAAAAAATTGTTTTCTTCTAAGATTTTTCTTGTCTTCATATTTTAGATCATCGACAAAAATAAGCGAGACCCCTCAGAAGAAATTGAAATTTTGATGCGCTATGGACAACATCCCAACATTATCACTTTAAAGGATGTAAGCATTTTAAAATCTGGTTATCAGCTAATCTACAAAAGTTACAACGTGGAAGTTTACTTTTCTTGTTTAAACTTTTAATGTCAGTGGTATGTGTCCGGGGGAGGGGAATTACATTCTGATTAGAGATTCTAATACACCTGTGCCATTCTTTTTCTTTATTTTAATTAACATTTAATAATTGTACATATGTCTGTATATTTAATTTCATGCCATAAATTCTCAAGACCTTTAAATTTGCCACTCAAGTTATTTTTTCTATGATTCTATATTCCTACTCCTCTTAGAGAATATCAAAAAAGAAACATGATGATTAGTAAATGAGAGTGTCCTGATTACTTGAATATATTTTGACTGATTAATTAATTAGCTTTGTAACTAGCACCATTTATTATTCTGACAGGAGATCAAGGATCTGCCTTTTTTTTGGGGGGGTGGGGGGATAGGTTTTTGCTATAGGTCATGTGCAGTCGCCAGAAAGACAGAGAGAGACAGAGAGACAGAAAGCAAGAAACCTTCCCCCCTGGGGGCATGGCCACGCCGCAACCCTTTCTCCTCCATTCTCCTCTCGGGATCTTGGACATACAAGCACATGCACCCAGCATGAGTTTAAGCCACCGGATCCTGGTCTCTAACCACGGTTGACTACATGGAAGTCCAGCGACATAACCATTATGCCAACTGCTGCTCCCTCTGCCAAATTCTTAAGGATTGCTGCTTTTAATTTCTTGATTGTATGGTGATTGGCTATAGCATTAAGGATTGTTCCTTGAACGAAATAGTATTCCTTTATAGTTTTATAAGATTGAACATGTAACCCCATATTAATTGGTCTTACTGAATGCTAACTTTTCTATATGAAATTTTTTTTCTCTTTAGAGAAGGCCGAAAAATCAACCATCACCTTGATTAGATTGTTTCAGATAATAATATATACACTTCGGTATTTGAATTATACAGACTTTTAGTACACTATGTTAGATAATGGACTGAGGGGACAGTGTTAAGAAAATAATATATTGGGGGGCAAGCAGGTGGCATGGTGGTTAAAGGTACTAGTGGCTTGATTCCCACATGGCTGTCTGTGGTTCGAGTCCTGGACCTGGTGGGTTGAAAATCACACTGGGCTCATGTGTGTGCATGCTCAATATCCCAAGAGGAGAATGGAAGAGAAGGGATTACAGCATCACCATCCCTGCAGGGGGTGATTTCTCACTTTCTCTCTTTATCTTGCAAGTTCTCAAGCCCAATGGCAAAAAAAATAATAATAATAATATGTTTACTATCAGAAATAAGCTTATTATTAGGGAAGAAAAGGGAAGGGAAGCTGTAATACAATTTAAAAATGAGATACGTGTAATTTGAGAGGCATAGAGTCTATTTTTTCATTTATATCTTTCTATGAACTGTAACCTACAACTTCAAAAGTTAATAAAATTACATGTTTAAAATGGCCTCACAGGAATGTTTATGAGGTTATTTAGCTGATCCAAACTTCAATACAGCCTGTATTAAGTTAATAATAAATGAATAATGTCTCTCTTTTAATACTAAAGGTTCACTAGAAAAACAAATATAATTTAAACATTTTTGAATTATAAGTACTAACATTTTAAAAATATGTTCTCTTTTAGGTCTTCGATGATGGTAGATATGTTTACCTTGTCACAGATTTGATGAAAGGAGGAGAACTACTTGACCGGATTCTCAAACAAAAATGTTTCTCAGAACAGGAGGCTAGTGATGTACTATATGTAATAACTAAAACAGTCGACTATCTTCATTGTCAAGGAGTAAGTTTTAGTTATATTCTTGGTTTTGATTCTGGGGTCAGTTGATGGATAAAATTATATATAGGACAAAGTGAAATTTAAAATGAGCTGCTTTTTCAGTCATATGTAGTTTTATAGAGAATATCCTAATAAAACTCATAATGTAGTGAAGATTATAGATTTTAAAAATTGACTAATGCTTTATTAATTCTCTTCTCTCTACCTCTTAGCCCTGATTTAAGCACATTGGTTTTAAAAGTGATTTAATTATATAAATTTATCTATCCTTGACTTTGAAATTATTAAACCTAATCAAATTTGAAAGGAAACATAAAATGATTTTCAAAAGGCATATCATAAATGTTATTCTAATTATATTATACATAACATATGAAGTTATGGCAATAGACGTATGCCTTGGCCCTTGCTAACCCCTCCCCAAAATAAAATATTTGGATTCTAAATATTTGAAGTATTTAATATTTTTTATGGTGGAAAAGAAGACTTGTTATTTTGCCTCCCACCACTTCATAAAGAAGGCAAATGGATTGAGTTGAAAAAAAATTCAACTTTAGGGCCAGCAGATGGCATAGTGGTTGCATCACTGGACTCCCATATGACCGACTGCAGTTTGAGTCCCGGACCAGGTGTCTTGAAACTCATGCAGGTTGCAGGTGTCTTCATGCCCCAGATCTCAGGAGGAGAATGGAGGAGAAGGGATTGTGGCATGGCCATCCTTCCTGGGGGTGATTTCTCACTTTCCCACTCACTATCTCTGTCTGTCTCCATCGAGTGCATATGCCCTAACATCAGAACCTCTTTAAAAAAAAACTTTCAAATTTTATTATATATAGCTATATAAGGAAACAGAGTAGCAAATAATTTTTTAAAAATAAGTTTTAATTTGTTGTAATATAGGATATATACACACTTAACTGTAATCATGGAAATAAAGACAATTTAGAATTGACACATTGAAAGTTCTACATGGGTCACTCTTATAATTGATAAAAAAAAGTTAAAACTCAATTTTAGTGTGTGATTTAATGGAGTACATTTTCATTTTTTGAAATAAATTTTATACTGCTAAAGGAATAATTCTACTATCATTTAATTTCTTAATTGTCTTTATCAACATTGTCTAAAGAAAAAGATGTCCAGGATTTTTTTGTGTGTGTGTGAGGTTTTTGCCATAGGGTACGTGTGCTTGCCAGACAGAGAGAGACAGAGAGACAGAAAGCGAGAAATCACCCCCCAGGGGGGATGGCCACGCTGCAATCCCTTCTCCTCCATTCTCCTCTCAGGATCTTGGGCACGCACACACACGCACCCGGCGTGAGTTTTAAGCCACCATGTCTGGAACACGAACCGCGATTGACTACATGGGAGTTCAGCGACATAGACATTATGCTAACTGCTGGTCCCATGACCAGAATTTTTAAAAATGCTAAGCATCTCTTCTTTAGTTTATTATTTTATGACTGCAGGTTCATATATCAACTAAATAAATTAATAACAGGCACATATTGAGTATTTCTTTTTTTTTTTCTTTCAAGAGAGCTTTTTGCTATAGGGCACATGCACTCACTAGAGAGACAGAAAGTGAGAAATGTGTCCTTCTTGCCAGGGTTTGTCCGCTTCTGTTCATTCTCCAATACCTTCAGATAATTAATTTTCATATTATATCCTGGTTTTACAGCCATTTACTCTGAGGAGATAGGTGTTGGGTAGTACCTTAGTCTACTATATCCAAAAGTGGAACTGATAATTGAGTGGATATTTTGACATTGAAAGTTATCAAACTTGGTAGAGAAACTAGAACATCTGTCTGATAGAGATAATTCCCTGTATATACTTTAGGCCATTAATGTTGTAGAAAATGTCATTTACAAAATTTTGTAATTGAGAAAGTTTATTTTCTCAGAAGTTTATTAAAATGTGTGATTTCATAGATACTTAATTACTTATAGGAATTTAATATTTACTTATTTTATGTTCAAGGTTGTTCATCGTGATCTTAAGCCTAGTAATATTTTATACATGGATGAATCAGCTAATGCAGATTCAATTAGGATCTGTGATTTTGGGTTTGCCAAACAACTTCGAGGAGAAAATGGACTTCTATTGACTCCATGCTACACAGCAAACTTTGTAGCACCTGAGGTATTCTTTAATAACTTCAGTATTTGCCTTTCATTCTTTTCCTTTAGTTGAATAAATATGGTATCATGTATATGTTATGACAGGCAGGTGAAAGCTGAATTATCTTGTCTTTTCCCAAATATAAAGCTCATCAAAGTTCATTGTTCATTAAATCAATGAATTCTGACAACCCTAATATCAATATTCACACTAGTAATTAGCATCTAAAACCAACCTGAATATAATAATTAGACTCTTCTATTGGGTTATTTACTCATTTCAGAATCATATCATTTTATAGCTGGGAAGTAGGTAAGATAGTAAGATAGCTACCATTCCAATGTATTATATATTGTAAATGAAGAAACCGAAGCCTCGTGTACATAAATGACTTATTCATGACCCAGAATTCACTTGGTACCAAAGTTGGGATAGATTTATTTTTCAGTTATTTTAGTTTTTGCTAAACATGAGACAATGTATTTCAGTTAGCGTTATACAAATAACATATAAGGGCAATGCTATCTCTAATTGTTTTTAGGATCTAACTCCTAGAGAAAATAGCCTCATGGGATTTTTATATGCAGTGGGATTTGGTAAATAATATTTATATGTAGATTCATATAGTGTAAAGAATCAGGAAAGGAGAGGCTGAGGAGACTCAATGGTATAGATTTCACATTTGAATAGCTCCAACAATCAGTTCTGACCATGGGGATGGTAGCTTTGTTGATAGCAACTCCCACATAAGTAAAATTAAGGTTGGTAAAAAATAAATCAGGGATGGCATTGGCCAGATAAATTTTTTGTATTTTTTGTTTATTAGCTAGGAACTGTTCTTATATGTTATAGATAATGCTAGCTGATATAAATTGTTTCACATTCGATACAAATCCAAATACCTAAAAATCTTCAGGTTTGAAAAATTGAATTTGAGGCCAGCCCCATGTTTTGATGCTGAATGGAACCAGATCCCACAGGGTCAACTATGAGGTTTGATCCTGGCACTAGTGGCTTGAAAAACATACTGAGAATCTGCACATTCACACCTCAGATCCTGAGGGTGGAGAAATGGAGGAAAAGGGATTATGGCATGACCACTCCCCATTGGGGGGTGCTTTCCTCCAGCTCACTCCTTTGACTCTCTCTGGAAAAAAAATAATAGGAAGAAAAAAAATCAAGAAATTGTATTTTCTAAATGAGAGGAGAAACAGAGTAAAATAATATGAAGATTAATTTCTATGTCAAATGCATATATTATGATTTATTTATTTATTTATCAAATACTTTCTCTTTCAGTATAATATTGTATATCAGATATAAAAACCTAAGCCATTAGTATTTTGGCATCAGTGAATCTCTCTCTTAAAATATATATATATTAAAAAATATATATTTTTTAAGGAATTACTAATATTTACTTGTTATTATTTTTCAGTATGCTATAAGGTTTTTGTGCTCATCAGAGAGAGAGGGAGGAAAAGTGAGAAAGCAAGCTGCCAGGTCTAGGCCTCAAACCACATTGGCCATGTGAGAGGTCAGTGTCTTAACCATCAT